TTTCCTCCCCGCTCCCTAAATGTAAGAGTTACTGATCTTGTAAAAAGTGACAGAGCAGTTAGAGTTCTCAATTCCTATCAAGTGGTTTTCTCGTATCCTGAAGTATTTGGCTGGAATCTTTCTTGTGTAATTACTTGAAAGCCAGACTTATTTTAACTTGGCCACCAAGAGTGTCTCTAGAGACAGTAGAGAGAAACAGTCACATTTCCAGAGGGCAACCCTGGAACCCTATAGGCGTTTCTTTTAGGATGGGACAAATCACCCTCTGGTGGTGCCTTTCTCTCATCACTCCTGCTAGAGGGGTTGCATACAGTTTGCTCGAGTGGGGGTCTCGTTTCTGGATGACTGAAATTTGGAAATGAGAATCACAGTCTTTGATACCTAAAGACTGCAAAGATGAGGGGTGGTAAAGCAGAAAAAATGTGTAGACTACATTGTGTTTCAAATACCTAGAAGGCCTAGACTGCCTATTTTTCCTCAGAATAAATGGGATAACTGCTGGGCCCTAATAAACGAAGACGTTATGACAAAGCCACCCCACTCACCCCTTTTCTCCCCTCCACACCCTTCACGAGACCCTTATACAGATTATGCCTAACCCGTATAAGCAATCCCATTGCTTAAGGAAGCAACTGCTGAAAGATGCTGAATACCTGCAGACTGTGATACGACTCACCAGGTTAAGCTCCGAGATCCTTATACTGTTTATCCGTGCAAATTCCAGCATGCTGGGTGCTGAGGAGTGCCCAACGGGCTGCTCAGTGGGAGTTGTGGTGGCTCAGCACCTCCACGGACTTGGCGTGGAAAACTCCAGCCTGGACTTTGCCAATGGGAAAAAAAACAACTCCAGTCATGCAGGGTGTGCTTCCCTCCCCGCTTCGTGAGCTGGCCTGGTGAAAAATTCCTGGTGCTTACTGAAAGCATCATCTGATGTCACTCGACACCAGAGGGGAAAATATAAATCAAAGTCTAAGCATTCAGCACTCTCTCAGCATTGGCCTAATGTGATTAATGTAATCTGAGGTAAACACTCGAGTTATTTCTCGTTACTGTTAGGGACCCAAATCAAGGGTTGGGACTTGTTAGCCTGGGTGATGTGAAAAAACAAGCCCTACCCATGAGATCTCCAAGGCTAAGATAAAGCTCGGGTAGAAGCTTAACCACGGTTGCCTAATAGCAAATGAGCAGACACGATGAAGTGTTGAATCTGAACCATCTGGAGGGCATGTGCCAAGGGCTCTGCCGTGCTCAGCAGAAAACTTTCCTCTGGCAGTGGAGCGGGGCTGGAGTAACAGGGAGAGCGGGGTGACCCAGGATGGGATTGCAAAGCAGCTGGTGGGCCAGGGTGCCCAAACCCTATGGACGCTGAAGGGACCTACTTCTGCTTTCTACCTTTCAGAGTCACCTCCTGGTTCAAAAAAAATTGAAAAAAAAAAAAAAAAGAGTTGCTTTCTGTAGAAGTCTCCAGGTGAAATGGCTTCAAGCTCCAACAGGGGAGGTTTAGATTGAACATTAGGAAAGAATTTTTCACCGAAAGAGTGATAGGGCATTGGAACAGGCTGCCCAGGGAGGGGGTGGAGTCACCATCCCTGGATGTGTTTAAGGGCCGTTTAGATGCAGTGCTAAGGGACATGGTGTAGGGGAGGACTTTGTAGAGTAGGGGAGATGGTTGGACTCGATGATCCCAAGGGTCTCTTCCAACCTAGAGGATTCTATGATTCTATGAAATCTTTGCCTGACAATCCCAGCACACTCTATAACTCTTGAGACGTGTGGGTTGCCGTTGGAAGTGGGGAATGGACTTAATAAGGTGGACAGAGTTGCTCCTGGCACCTTCTGATGGTCTCTTGCCTCACATGAGGATGTTGTAGATACCTCAGTCACTGTATGACTCAGAGCACAAACACTCAAGTGTCACAGGTGTGAAAACACAAGTCTAAAAGCCGAGGAATGATTCTATTGTCGGTTCTGTGCTTGCTCCACTCCCGGCTGGGTGTGATGGCAAATAATTGCTCTTGGAAAGGAGCATCGAGGTATTGCAGGCTGGCAGCCTGCTGAGTCCAGCGAGGGTGGGTTCAGGGCAGGTTTAGATTAGATATCAAGAAGAATTACTTTACTGAGAGAGTGGTCAGGCACTGGAACAGCCTGCCCAGGGAGGTGGTGGAGTCTCCATCCCTGGAGGGATTTAAGAAACGTGTAGACATGGCATTTCAGGGCATGCTCCAGTGCCTGAGATTGTAGGGGTCTTTTTTGTATGTGTATGGTTGGACTCGGTGATCTCAGGGGTCCTTTCCAACCGTGACAATTCGGTGATTCTGTGATTCTATGGGGCACGGGGAGTAAGTGCTTCAGCCAGCCAAACCCAGTGGGAATAGGCTGGAGCCCCGACGTTGTTTTGCTGACAGGGGAAGATGTCATCACAGCAGAATATGAAGGAGTTAACACCTTATGAAACACAGTTTTGGCAGTGATGCAGACAAAAGGTTGTTTTGTTTGAAATGCAGTACCAGCCGTGTTGGTTAACAAGGTGATTTAGTCACCTGGCCGGTCTCAGTCATTACATTGTGTTATTTCTTCTAACATGTTGGGTCCAAATCCTGTGAAACAACCTTCTCAGCTTCAAGCCCATAGGTAGCTCTTTGCTTCAGATCAAAGCTTAGTTGAATGTATGTGTCTGGATAATGGCTGGTTGAAACAGCAAGCTGAAGTGCTAAGGGAACCCCGTCTTGCACAGGCAGAGAAATGACAAGGTGACAGTGTGATTTTAAGTAAAAAAAGAATAAAAATGCAGGGAATTATTTTTTTTTTTCCAAACCTTTTGTTAGTCCTGTTCCTTTGCAGCCTGGGGAGAACTGAGGAGGGCTGTCCCACGGCTGCTTGCACCCGCTGCCGAGGGCTTGGTGCACAAAATTGCACAACCAATTTCAAAACGCCTCTTAGCTAGTCCAGGCACTCCGGCCGTCCTTCCAAAAATAAAAGGCAAGGTTTTCACCACCCTGGAGGACTAATAAACCACCTACGCTCCTACATCTACTGAGGTGGAGAGAGCACCGAATCCCTTACTGCTCAGAAAGTCTGGCCGTGTGTTCGCTGCTGGTACCTGGCTTTTGTCCCCAGGTTGGAAGGTTTGTGTTCAGCATTTTCCTGGGGCTGAGAGGCAGATCGACTCCATTAACCACCTGCCTTTCCAGCAGAAGATCTGGCCCCGTGGCCCCAGTTCTTTAAGACACTTTTGCATAAGCCCCCGAGACCACCCTTCTCACCAGCGTTGCTGAAAATGGACTTTTGGATTCAAGCAGGCAGCTGCTTCTCCCAGATTTTTCACCATGTTTGTGCATCTCTTTTGTGATAAAGTTAGCAAACAAACTCTATTATTCTTCAGCAAGATCCCTGTCCATAAAATTCCTTTCTAAGCCTGATATTTTACAGGGAGTAGCAGTGAGGTCCTTGCTTTGAAAATATGAGTCTAAAAGTCAAAGATTAGTCTGCATTTTGAATATTAAAGCAGATTCTCAGATAATATTTCATTGGAACAAGTAGGGCTATTCCAGTCTAGAGCAACTGAGGACCTGGGTCTGAAAAATGAGCTATGAATTCTGTTTACATATAAATAATGAAATAGGGAGCTACTTTTTTTCATACCTCCATGCTGTCTCGTCTGTTGGTGTCATGACACTCAAATAGGTAGTAACTGGAATGAAGCCCAGTAGCCAATTTATACTTAACACACCATTAGTTCTTACTAATTCCCGTGGTACACTTTAACATTAAGCACTTACAAAAATGCTTAGGAAAACCATCCACCCCGTGCTTCAGTTCCTCACAAGCATCCCTGCTTCCCTGTTTGTTCCTGGATATGTCTGTTAGCATCACCGCTTCGGTAACTTTCCATTTTAGGACAGTATTAAAAATGATTGAGATGTGTTAAAATTCAGAGGACGCAGCTCTGTCCCCTCTCTTCCCTCTATCAAGTAGTATCTTGACATCAAATATTTCTCCTGAGATCGTGCTGAAGATCCCAAAGTAAGGTGAAACCCTGCACAGAGAAGGCTGGCAGCATTGGCTATTTCAATTTTAAGAATGTACAGTAACGTATGTGCATATCTAGGAATATAGAGGGGGGAAAAAGACCGTGTATATTGCATGTTAAATTGTGATTTTAATGATGAAGACACAAGCTACCTAATCACCCACTTTTGTATATTTTATCTTTAATAGGATTTCTGATACTATCACAAAGCTGGTCTTCATTCTCTGCCAAAGGGATCTGAAAACACTGGAAATAGTAAAAATATTTCTGTATATCATACTAGCTTGTTAAATATGCAGCTAATTTAAAAAATAATGATAATTTATCTTATTAGCAGCTACAGCATATCATGTTCAGATTCCTTTTTTTTTTTATTGTAAGCGTAGGATACCTGTGCAAACAAAAGCAGAATTTGGCCTGGGATATAAGCAGAAACTTATATCTCTGTATTATTTATTTCCTATTCTTGGGCTGAGTAAAAATGAAATGAAATAAGTATTATAAGACTTTAAAAAAAAAAAAAAAATCCCAAACACATCCAAGGCAGATTTCATGACAGCAGAACAAGTATCATTTTGAGTGGCAAGGCACTGACAATAACTTTTGGCTTTGGTCCACATCAATCTGGAGGCCCAGCTACACAAGCCAAGCTGGCTCAGGATCACTTCTAAACAGGCAGTTATCACCTTGGGTGCAATAATGTTCCAGAGGTCCAAATCAGGACTGAGCCCTTTGCACAGGTGCGACACGCTCACCCGGCCTATCCCTTCCTCTGCCCTTGCCCATGGCAAAAAGTCCCTCCGACTTCTCCAGCATTAGAAGTCTGGCTGGCCTCCCCAAAATTTCACCCTCCCTGCCTTTTCCCCTCTGTCCCATTTCATCCTGGTTTTCTGCGTGTTGTGAAATCTTGGGGATTTTGGTGCGATTCATCTTTTCCTCTTCCATTTGTCAACCTTTCCTTCCTTTGCAGACTGGTTCTGAGCCATCCCCTCAAGGACGAGCGGAGGAAACTCCCCTGAGCAATGAGAGGGGTGACGAGCCGGCTCGTCATGTCTTCTCCTTCTCCTGGTTGAACTCACTGAATGAATGATGACTCACTCCGGCTGGCTTCTGGTGTGCTTCTCCTCGGAAGGACCGCGAGCGCAGGCAGCCTGGCTCAAATCCACAAAGAAACTGGCCTGGAAAGGGACACCCGAGCAGGTTTCCTTCCCAGGAACTTGGTTGAACCTCCACGTCGTACCCAGCCCTTGAGAGATGACAGCCCTGAGAGGGGCGGAAGCACGGGGACAAATTGCTATACTGTATTGTAGTCAGAGTGTTTTCCAATAATTTCTTGTTTCCAAGGGGAAAATAGCATCACTTACAGCTGGGAGGCTGAGCACTGCGAGTGTTTTGTTATTCACCTTTTTGGCACGTCCCCGCGTAGGTGTAAATGCTTCACCAACCTTGTTAGCTAAAATACTGGTACAATAGTCACTCGTAGCATCCTTTGCCAACACAGTGCTTCTCCTCGGCCCCGCTCGTCGGTCCTGGTGACTTTAGTGGCTTCTGTCCCACCCCTGGTAGCCCCAAGTCAAGGTCACGTCTAAGCCCCTCGTAGTCCCTGAGGTACCGGTGCCATAGAGCTGAGCATGGGAGAGGAGAGGAGAGGAGAGGAGAGGAGAGGGAAGCTGCCTTTTCTTCCTTTGGGCTTGCTCTCCCTGCTCAGCCATGACAGAGGATGTTCATATCACCAGGTCGTTTGTGGGGAAGGTGGCCAGCGAGAGGGATGGGGAAGACACATATGCCAAAAGCACTGGCCACCCCCTGCCCGTGGATGCAGGACACAGCTCTGAGCCTGTGGGGCAGACACTAGGGTGCTGCCCATGTCTGTCCAGCCTTTGCCTGTGTCTACATCTTCTCAGCCACCCCTGTGTGCAGGAAAAGGGACATTCTCCCTCACGAAACCAGGATGCTGCGAGGTGGTCACAAGTATCCATTCAAGGTTTAATTTCAAGGCCCCGTGGTGCTCTGGTAGAAAAGGTGAACACTGAATGTCCTGCTCTGCCTGAATGGCAGATGTTGGGCCGTCTAACAAAATCAAATTTCCATCTTAAAAGCAGCTGTACAGGTTGTGCTGAAGGTGATGCTTAGCCAGTTTTGTCACCGGGGAGAGGGTGGCAGCACTCGGTAGTGTTTAAGAGAGACTGGCAGGTTGCCGGGACTGCCCGGTGCCATGGGGGACCAGGTGTCAAGCTCCTCACCAGGGTGAAGTGTGGACCTTCCCAGGAGCCCCAAGCCAGTCCCTGGACACACAGCGTTTTGGCAGGGGATGGTGCTAGGGCACAGGGCTGCGCTGCATCCCCAGCAGGACCAGTGAGCGGGCAGAGCAGGCACCAGGCAGCACCTGGTTAGATGGGAGGGCTCAGCCCCAGTCCTGGCCATCCCTCGCCGCAGGACAGAGCCCCGTCGACCCTCATTCTTAATTTTTTCCCCTGGAAAACCCTCCTGTGGGGGGAAATTTTGGAGGGCTGCATAGGCCAGCTCTGAGCAGCTCTGAGGCTCACTCAGCCACTCCACACCACCATCGCATCGCCTCCAGCTGCTGGAGCAGCTTTTTCCTGGGGATGCAGTTTGGGATGAGGGATTTCCTATTTTCTCCCTGTTGTCCCGGTGGATTTTCCCCCCTTCCTCCCAGGAAGTTTCCCCACAGGCATCACCACCTCCTCAGCGCCCCTGGGAAGCACCCGGCTTGGGCAGCACTGCCAGGATCAGGGGGGAGAGGGGTGGAGACAAAGTGGGGTGGAACCTGCCCTTTTTGGGGTGCGGGAAGGGTGAGCAGAGCTAGGAAGAAAACAGAAAAGGGATGTGGCAGCGCCTCATCGCTTTCCCATCGCTGTGCGCCGGGTGGAGGAGGCTGCCCAGCCCCGGCAGCAGCAGAAGGAGCTGGGGACCCCCCCTCAGGGGGCTACTGAAGGGGGTGCTGGCAGGGCTGGGGGTGACCCACCAGCCCCAACCTCCCCCCGACAACGTCCCTGGGAGCAGCTGGTGGTGAGGGTGGTGGCGTGGGGCAGACCCTGGACCGCCCAGGACCGGTGGCACATCGGGTCTGGGAGATCCCACAGGGACAGGGGGTCCCCGGGGTGGAGAGGGGGAAAAGAGACACCCCCGGGGGTGATTTGGGGCTCCCTGCGGCTCTGGGTGTTCGAATCCCCCCGGCCCTGGTAAGCACTGAGGGAGGAGGAGGAGCCCTCAGGCGTTTAGGCAAGAAAGTCTACCCAGCCATCGTTACTTTGCAGCTTTTATTAAAAATATAAATATTAAACATTCTCTTACACAACAAAATCGACCGAGCGCTGAAAAGATGTTTTATTGTGAAAACGTTTTACAGGAAACGAACGAAC